GGAAGTGTTCAAAAAATGTGTGGATGTGGTGCTTAGGAAGATGGTTTAGAGGTGGACCTGGCAGTTAGGTTAACGGTTGGACTCAATGATCTCAGAGGTCCTTTCCAACCTTTATGATTCTATGATTCTATGTCTAATTAGGGCACTTCAAAGACTTCTTAACACAATCAATAGTGTCTTACCTTTGTCATAAGAACTTTTTCTAACAGGGAGTAAAATAAAGAATGGGTGCCTTCAGACTGGATAACTTTAAAAAGAAAAAAACCCAAGTGTTCAGTAAGAGCAGTGTAAAACGAACACAGCAAATTATCTTGATCAGATCAGTAAAATGTATATATACAAGTAGAGTATTTTTTTTTCTTGTTAAGAGTGCAAAGATTATTAACCAGTCTTGTATATTGTGACTGCCTGCACAACACAGAATAAATCTACAAAGCCAACATCAAAAGGGAGAATTACATTAGTTACTAGAATATTAATGTGTTTAACATAAGCACCTCTGAGCCAAATATGAACATCAGTCATGTTGTAAGGAAAAATAAGGTACATAATTTATGAGCTGGGTTAACTAGATTCTATTAACATGGTTCTTATTGATAGTAGCCACACCTGCTAACAACAATTTGTTGAAGATGCAAAGTAAACTACCAGTTTTGCTGAGATATAAAAAATACTGCAAATGAAATGCATTTTCTCATCTATACTACTTTTTAAAGGCAATGTGTTTTACATTTCCAGATCTTTGGTCATGAAAATGTGTTTTAGGAAGCTCAAATATATAAAAATGAACATCTAAAATTAAACAGATTCTATCCAGTGCTTCCTAATGCTGATTTATTTTCCTTATGTCTATTTAAAACTTTCTACTTAATGATCTGTACAATGTTTTCCAGTGGCTTGTGTTTGGGCATGGGTACTGTTTGGGGAACAGTACTTCAGTGTTTCAGAAGAGAAGCAACAGCGTTATAAAGATGGCAGTGGCTAAAAAACACAGTTACCAACTACTAACAGTGCAGTTTACACCACAGGTTTTTTTCCACTTTGTTTTTAGATACCTGATTGCTATAGGAGAACCTACAGCCTTGAAATAAATACTGGGGCAAAATTTCTAGGGCTGTCTGGGGGCTTACAGGTGGGATCTTTAAAATCCAGCCTGCTACATAGCCGCCTAAACAAGCCCGTAGGCTGAGTGTGGGATAAGTATTCAAACATAATCTAAATATTTTTCTCTTTATTTGCCACTAGGTTTTACTACCTTGAATATTACCATGATTTCTTTTCACTGTCAGACACATTTGAAAGTGGAACAATAATTCCACCTAATAAGAAACAATGCAATGAGAGGAACTTGCTAAATCTTTATAAAACTTTTAAATACACTTACTGCAAATTCTGGTTAAGATCCAAAATACCTTTGCAGAAGAACAAGAATTTGCTGCTTTTTCTGAACATTAATGTTCATGTTCAATATCAGGAAGTGCAAGCAAAACACTGGAAAAATAAGCTATCTCATTATCTAATAGTATGATTTTGACTTGCAGTGCAGGTAGCTAGCCAGTTTTACTGTAACTGCATAAATCGTAACTAAGAAAAGCACATTAATTTATTTTCCTTATGGAAAAGTAAATCCCTTGGATCTTTCATGCATATTCTTATCTTATTCAGAATTTGTCTTTTAAACGTATTTTCCCTCAAATTGCTGGCTACATTGATTCAAAACAGAAGAGACAACATTAATTTTGTTGAACTCTGAGTAGGAATAAGCTCTGACTCGTTCAGAGTAGCATTGCTCCTGGGGTATTATGTGAAAAGGACTGTTTCCCTTAGTTTTATCAAAATAAAACTACACTGAATAAAACGCCTCCACTTGTACTTTACTGTCTTGTGGGGCAGAACACATGCTGAAGGCAGCGAGGGGTTTGCCTTGCAGAAAGTTGGGAACTGCTTGCTGTCACGGCAAATCTGAATGAGTTTACCACAGCTCGGGGAAGAGACGCAGTCTCAATCTCAACTTCTGCAATCAGTGTGCTCTTGAATGGGTTCAACAGATTTAAAAAAAAAAACAAACAACAAAAAAAAGTATTGTATCCATTGTTTGGCCAGGAAGGTTTTCAGAAACCTTTCTCAGCATCATCAGTCACATTCAAGGCCTCCCTAGGCAGCAGTTCTCCTGACTAAGAAGTAGTCTCCTTCTTGATGGGAGGTGTAGAGTTCAAGCCATGTGAGAAGCTATGTATTAAAAGAAAAAACTCAATTTAAACTGTAATCCTCAGCCAGTCTCTGCAACGCACTGACC